GAAAAGATAGACAAGTACAATAATTGCCTTGGCTTCAATTAGCTGAGAGAGAATTTCTTCCCTAGGCTCTTCTGTCATGATTCTATACATGTAGCACACAAGTCTATGCAGAAGTAAAGGAAAAGTGGTGACAGAAGAAATTTTCCTGGATTGGGAAAAGCATCTTAAGTGTTTTAGAGCCGATTAATAAGAAGGGCCATAGATTTTTAATGACTTAAGAAATACAGACCCATCACAGACCAATGGATGAAAGCCAATCCTTAGCTGGAAGGAGGATTATGTTTAAACAATGATCAGATGTCTTTGATCTTTTTTATTAACAAGGCTAAAAGTAGATAAGTCTATAATGGATGGATAACAAAGAGAGATTTCATGGTAATTTGTTGAATATGGTTTATTCTTTATTCTTTTTATGCTCCATTCCACTTGGGACATGACACAAAAAATGAGTTTTAGCCTTATAGAATTAAAAAAAAATGCTTTCACGAAAACAAATGAATATTGAGATACCTCTGCTTTATTTTCTTTTTTAATTAAGCACAATGGAAACTTCAGTCATGAGCCACTCCACTCTGTCTCATTAAAGCTTGTTACTCACAGGCTTTGATATTGGGTCCCATAATGGGAAAGTGTTTGCTGGGGCATGGGGGAGAGATTGTTGCTAAGCTGCTAATGACACCATATGTGTCCAAATCTACATTCTTATTGCTCCTGTGGGCCTGCAATATTATATCCACTTCTGCTATGCAATATACATGAAGGCATCTCTGAAGTAATTGTTATACAGAAAGGCAGCGATTGGGTATTTCTAGGAAAAATCTTTGTGTAGTAAAGGAGCACCTACTGTGTACTATAAATGGGATGAAAATGGGGTTTTAATATTAAAACTACCTGGTAGAATTAGCAAGCAGTAGTAAACTCCATGACAACTTAAGAATGCACTGTGCTAGCATGTTATCCTGCTGGTGCCATTTTTCTTTTGCCATGTAGAGTTTATGCTACAATTAAGCACTTGTGCAGTGCAGCTGGCTCTGAAATATGAACTTATCCAACACAAAGTTTAGTCAACTTAGTCAAGTGTATGTATTCCGGACTCTTTTGCCCATAGAAAGGAAAGGATGGGTTTTATTTTGGGAAAAGGGAAACCCACCCTTTGTGATCTTATATATAAAAAGCAGGCATTCTGTAAACCACTAGCAAAAGAGTTGTTTTAGATTCACTTATATAACCCAGAATGAAAATTCTCTTCTTTAGTGCCCTAGGAAAGACAGGGAAGGGACCCAGGTAAATTACTGTAATGGGTAACAATGAAGCTCAGAATGGTCCAGGAGAAAATGCTTACCAAGGCAGCCTTTAGTTTGATGTGATTACAGGCTCACCTTTTCAGGTGCTTCCTTTAGGTCATTTTAGTAGATCATTCAATAGACAATGTGGTTAGATTATTAGGTATAGCTTGGGGATGTTTATTTGAACCTGCTATTGTATAGATACGCCTTTACCCTTGATTTAGTTTCCAAACTGTCTATTCGAAACTTTTCTTATCAATATAACCATCAGAAACGAAAACAAACCAGCATTCAACTGATATTCTGGTTTTTGAACTGTCAATGTTAAACTGACCTATCTTACATCTTGACAAGAAGGACGGATTAGCTATCAGTTTGCTCAGCCTTAAAGATTTCCTCTCTCTTTCAGACCCCTGTGGCATTTCTCTGGCTTCAGCCTCATGACACATCTAGGCACTAATCTCCTCTGAAGCAGACTGATTTAATCTTCTCAAGCCACAGCCCTTAGTTTTTCTATCTGCTAAAATAGAGGGAGAGGGACAGGAGCAGGCTTCTCTTATTTCTCAGGTTCAAGCTAAACACCCTACCAATTTCACCCTTCTGTTACTGTCAATGAGGCATACACCTGTGATTGACCTCTGGCTGTGATCCTCAGAGCATGGAAGCCACTAAGTTCAGCAAGTAGAAAGGGCATTGGTCAGAAAACCACTCGATGCTGTTGTTTAAGCTTAGAAAAGTTTCTTGACAATCATATCACATAATTATCTTTCTGGGAGAGAAATGTTCTAGCATAAAAGCACTGGATGTTTAACTTTTAATTTGGATCCTTGGACTGTTATTGGCAAAGATTGCCTAATCTTACTCTCACTAGTCTTGAGGCATTTATGTTCTTGTGGAGAGCACTTAGGTGTGGCCATCTGTGATAGCATAACACTAAGGTTCTGTGCACCAGTCACAACTGACCAAGCAACAATCACACCCAAATATTAAAGTGATCATTCAGAGCTGGCAGCTCCATCTCTAGGAGTAATGCAGCCCTCAGGGACAACCAAAGAAATCCAGATATTCCGCTGAAAGCTAAATGAAATCTAAGAATTGTAGGTCATCCGAGAGTCAAGCACTGCCATTGTTAAAACTCCAAGAGAAGTCGGGAACTGAGAAATTGCTTTAGGGTTGTGTTTGGCATAAAAGGAAAAAATTAGGATGAAGGAATTCCCCAATCATAACATGACCTAGATCCTTCGCAAAGCTACTGCTCCATAAAGCTATTGCCCAATGGTATTCTAATCAAACCTGGCCTCCATTGCTGAAACAGCTAGTTTTACCAAGAGCGGTTTGGCAGGGTACCAGTGACACGTGCGGTGATGTTGGCATCATTTAGCTAGACTGCTGTTCATTGCTTCCTGCAGAGATGGTAAAATGTAATCCAGTTTTGTTGACACTGGTAGCCATTCTCTGTCTAAAAGGGCAGAATATGTCCTGGTGTTGGGCTCTTATAAACACACCCCTTTCCCATCGATGTAAAAATAGATCTCATTCACCTCTCTGATTTCAGAGGCTTCACTCTTTGTCCCTCAAAAAGCTCAGTCATTGTAGCCATCAAGAGTCCCTGATAATATTTGACAGACATTTCAATATGCATACGATGGAGGCCAGAGGTTGCTAGAAAACCATGCTTCAGTGGACAAGAGGAATGAATAGAGTAGAAAGGCTTACACAGCATTTTAAACTCATGGAGGGATTTCTCCAAACCTGCTTGTCTTCCTAGCAATTTTATTTCTGCTATAGGAAAATGGAAATAGAAAATCCACTAAGTGACACATGTATGACTAAAAGAAGACATGGCCAATGCCCAGAGAGAGGTTCATTCAGTAAACTAACAACTGCTTCAAGCAATTGCCTGAATTACGGCCATGACAGGCTCTAAGAAAGAATGGAGTCTTGGAACTCCACAAGTATGTACACATCTGTGGGGATTAGTTTTACCTATCAATTTGACTGGGCCATCGGATGCCCAAGTATGTGATCAAAAATCATTCTGTGAGAGTGTTTCAGATGAGACCAATGTTTAAATTTGCAGAATGCCTTCATGATGTGGGTGGGCCTCATCCAAGTACAGTTTAAGGCATAACCCTACCCTGAGTGAATTCTCCTGCCTAACAGTCTTTGAGATATTTGACTCTAAAGATACCTAAAGAATTGCTAGCTTTCATACTCACATGAGCCATTTCTTTATTATATATATATATATATATATATATATATATATATATATGAATACACACACACATATAATTTACATATTATATATATTGGAAAAGAGAAGGCATTTGGAGGGAAGCTAATGGTTGGACTATTAGAGAGCATGGCCTTGTCATCACAGACACTGGGGGTGAGTTGTCTTCTGATAGAGTCCCTTGCAGTATATCTGACATATGTAGGGTCCTCAGTACTTGGATGGAGAAAAATAAAGGCACTATGGGCATCATAGTGGTCATTTCAAAGTATTAACCATTTTAATTAATGTTTTAACCTCCTGGGTTTATTGTGAAAATACAACAGCATGTTTGAATATGCTTGCTTTGAAACCTACTCAGTCAGACCAGTGCAGAAAAGTAAATCCAAATTAGACATTCCCTTTATACTGTCATTTTCCCAAATAAAAAATGACACATTCTCCTGAAAAGATGGCAAACTATTGAGCTATATTATTTTTTGCTGGCTATTTTCCAAGAAGGCTACTTGGTTTTAGAGAGAACCTTAGGTTTTTTTTTTTTTTTAAGGACCTAAGCTAAATCAGTATATCTTAGTTCATCTGAGTAGGCAAGTGAAGAAGGGATTACTATTTACTAAGCAACCATTCTGTACCATGAAATATTCACATATATTCTTTTATCAGTTAGTCTTGCCAGTAACCAGGTTTTTGGTACTTACAAGGGAATTAAGGAGTTAGGTGACGGGTCCAGGTCACAAAGCTAGGAAGGGACAGCACCAAGTTAAAACCTGTCTATGTGATGCTTTGATCTTCCCATACTTTCTTACCCAGGCAGACTATCACCTAGAGGTGGTAACAGTATAAATCCAGGAATAAAGTAGAGGCTCGGGAGTTTTGAACTGGACACCGTATTTTGATACAAAACCACCCATCTCCTCAAGTGTCATTTTCCCCCCCAATTTATAAGGTGAGAGTCACAACACATGTCCTGTGCCACAGAACCATGGTCTCTGGAGATTATTAAAATCTAAATATATCTTATATATATTTATAAAATATAAAATTTGTGTGTATATATTATATATACATTATATATATAATATATATATAATACATATATATTATAATGCTTTATAGTGCTGTGAAATTCTTGGAAGAAATAAAAGCATATGGTCATCTGTAACAGTATGTCACCAAGCTTTAAAATGGTGGCTAGTAAAAGAACTGCCAACTTAAAATTCAATGTTAACCACTTTCTTAAACTCTTAAAATAGATTAATAAGTATGCACCTTTAAGGAAGTTACAGTGATACAATATTTAAAGTGATCCTAACGTCACTAAAAATGTACTTGACTACTTTTTACTCGTCTTACTCCTTTTGTTTTTGCTCTTGGTGCACAATTTTGCTTTCTCCTAACGTACGCAAGCAAATGGATGGTCACGACGTTTCTTTTCATGCTGTGGACAAACACTGAAGATGTTAAACAGAAGGTGTTACCTAGAATGCAGAGACCATCTGTACAGTTTTCAGATTCCTGGCTCAGCCCTTCACAGAATTTGCCCCCGTTCCTTGGGGGTGGCGCTGTGCACTCCCGAATCCGCAAATGCTCGCACTCTGGACTGCAGACGGACCATTCGCTCCACACTTCCCAGCTCCCATCCACTTCAAGGGAAACAAAAGGAACCACCATTAGAATGAATCTGGTGGCTGTCAAGAGACTCACCCCACGGCTGCTGTTGTTCTTACAGCTGGATTTTAAAGAAATCACCACTACCACACACACACACACACACACACACACAAAACAAACAAAAAACACCAAAATAATTTCTGTTTATCTTCTCTCCATGGTTTCTTTCCTCAAGACAGAGGGTAATATAAGCAGTGGTATAATTCTCTGGCTATTTCAGGAGGAGATCAGTTACTGAATTTAGGCACGAATTCGCATTATCAGTGCCCTTGGGGTGGCTAATAATGTCATTACCCATTCTTTCCCAGTCTTTCATGCCCAAGTGCATCTTAGATGGACAGACACGGTATGTGTGGTAACCACTGGTAATCGCCACTTCCTTGTGGGTTGACAGTTTAGAACGGAGAGTAGAATGAACTATCTTTAAGCCCTAAAAGCCCTAAACAATAAAAAGTTAAACCTATATATATTGGTGGTATTAAAGTAAAACAGGTCGGTCAAACCCCAAGATACCAGGACTTACATAAATAGAATTTTGCGGGTCACGGATTGCTTCTGTATGTAGAAATGAACAAACGGATTTTAATTCCACTAAAAATTGACCCTAGAGATTATGGCAGCTATTGGAGGCAATTGTCCCATTACCTCTTAGGAATAGGCCAACTACGCTTATGTGGGTTAAGATAGATCGTGCAATTTTTAATCTAGAGCAATTAGTCAAGAATTGGGTAACATAAAAAAATACTGAATTTGAAGGAAAAATTTTGAGTACTTGTCTTGGTTGTGTTTACATAGTGGCTCCTGAGCAATCCCTTAGCCCGACTTTACTATTTTTGTCAACGGGGAGATAATAAAACTCACAACACAGAGTTAAAGGACATGATATCTATAAAAGTATCTTGCACAGTATCTGGCACATAGTAAGCACTCAATAAATAAATGTTTACTGAATACGAGTTTAGAATTAAACTCTGAGAATAAGCTGCTGGTGAGAGCCTCAGCTTCGCTCTGAGCACTCTGATCTGAAACTTAAAAGAACACAGAGGCTCTAGTCCAGTGTCCTTGGGGTTAATGTTTTATAATGCATGTGAGACCCAGGATCATTTATTTCTCAGTGGGAGGATATGCTTTCCATAAAGAAAGTCATCTTCCATCTCATCTATTCCTCATTGTAGAAATTGGATTAGAGCCAGTAAGAGACGAACAAAAGAGCTTCTAAGAGCCATATTTGGTAAATGAAGCCTCTATTTAGAAAGGAAGGCAAACAGACCAAATATAAAATAGAAACTGCTGTGATACTGTACAATCTCTGCCAATTGCATTGGAAATAAATACAAAAATAATAAGGTTAGTTGGATTGGAAGTGATAAAAAAAGGGTCAAAGTTTTGCTACCAATTTTGTGCTCACAGATAACTCAATCCCTGTTACTGTATAAGTAAATGCCACCAAATGGGAGAACCCAAGGAGAGAAGGGAGGGCTTGGCCCAACCAAACGTGGGTAATATAGAAATACTCCAAAGCATTTGGCTTGTTGATGGCAAGTGTCCAGCATCACGGAAGTATTAAAAAAATGTATATATATATATTTAAGCCCCCTAATGGAGGTATCTCACCCACATTCTTGCTATCATAGTGAGTTTCACATAAGCTCTTTGGACAAAGGCTGCATTCTGAGAATGTGGGAGAGGATAACTTTGGGAAGGAAGGTTACATTCAATGCTTCCCACCAGTGTGCTAGTGTTGGTGGATCAGAAGGGAAAAGGGAATCTACACATATCTCACCAGGACAAAGAGAAGTGCAGGTTATTTTCTGCACTGACATTCCCTCACAAAAGGCCCCACCATTCAGAGGAGCTGGGTTGGTGCAGGTCCGGGAACGTTTCTGCCATCCTCTACCACAGCGAACATTGCAGGCTGACCACTCTGTCCAGGAAGACCAGCCTCCATTCACTGAGAGAGAAAAATGGGGAGGGGAGAAAGAAAGGAGAGAGGTTTTTATTGATTGCCTACTATGTGCAAGCCACTGTGTCAAGTGTTGTGAGTTCGGCATCCAGGGACCAAGGGGCCCTGGGACCCACATTGGCTGCTCCGTCATGAGGCCACAGTGGGGCTCACCTCACCTCTGTCCCTTAGTCTACTCATCTGGTGTGAGGGGGACCCAGAGAATTTCCTCTGTGGGGAAATTATGAAAAATAGGAAGAATTCATCAACACATCACTAAAGCACTTGAAAATCCACAGTACAGAAAGGAAATACCATCATTTGAATTTCTATTACTTTAAGTGCTTCAAAAATAAATCCCAGGGCTCTTCTATTGTGGAAGGGAATGCCTTTACATAAATAGCCAGGAAGTTCTTTTATATAATACCTGAGATATTCAGTAAAGAGTAATGTTTGTTTTTGGTGGATTTCCTATGCCAGGAGAAGTGGCCACAGCAGGTCCAGAGAGGATGGGGGTGGAAGACGGATCAGGTAGGGGTGGGAAACAGAAGTTGCCCACTTTGTTTCTTTTAAAATATAACACTACAGGAGGAAATGACAGACTTTTAAAATTATTTTTAAAAGAGGGATTGGAAATGTTCCTATCTCCTGGAAGTCCAATACTGGAGGGAAGAGCCAGCACATCAATAGCAATAGGGATGTGTTCTCACCTACCAAATGGGAGAGGCAGGAGAGAGCACAGTAGTGAAGGACTCCTAAAGTGGCTTTTGGCTGGAAACAATGGAAGTTTTAACGAAATACACATCCATCTACTTCTCTGCTTTCCGTCCTCCCTATCTATTCCTGGCCTTTGGGCTGGTCTTACCATAAACCACTACTGTGGCTGACAGGCTCCTCCTCTTGGCCACGATGTTGGCTGCCATGCAGGTGTAATTGCCTGAGTCTGAGAGCCGTGCCTGTCTGATGATGAGGTTGTGGTCAGCCCTGGTGTCAATGTTCTCATCTTGCTCAGAGTCAATGGGTTCCTCATTTTTCAGCCATTCCACCTATAAGGAGAAGGGAATGTTTACTTTACTGGTCATTAAAAAGAAAAAAAAAACCCTCTTTTCTGGAATTGCTAGATGAGCGCTTCTGGCATGGGGGAGATAGACATTTGTAACATATAGATCAACAGCAATGATTTTACCATATCCCATCCCTTTTATTTAGCATATTCAGGAAATTAGCACTCAATAAACTGGAGGCAGGAAAAGAACACAAATACGTACTGACTTTGACCCACTTTTAAAAAATGCAGTGGAAGAGAGAAAAGGGGGCCACAATTAGGTCATTTCATTTTATTTCATTTTATTGTGACTCTGATGATGAGGACTGTGTTTCCATGACAAGTCCAAAATGGAGCTCAGAAAATCAACACATATATGCAGAACTTTGTGATGAGAGGATATTTATATTGTCAAACAAGGTTTCATGTCAATGTGTGCATTTAAACAAATTTTAAGAAAGGTGTGATGGGGTGCATGGGTGGCTCAGTTGATTAAGCATGGAACTCTTGGTTTCAGCTCAGGTCATGATCTCAGGGTCCTGGAACTGAGCCTAGTCTTCAGCTCTGTGCTCAGCAGGGGAAGTCCTCCCCTGTCACTGCCTCTCCCCCTGCTTGCACTCTCTCTAAAATAAATATATTTTTTTTAAAGGTGTGATAATGTATAAAGGCCAATGTAATACAGATTTGGGCAATCATAGGCAGTTAAATCCAAATCTCAGTATTCTCTAGTCTTGTGATCAATTACTTAATTCCTTCAATGATCCAAAAGACATTTAGACCTGGCTAGATGGCAGAAACATTTAAGGCCCAGCTTCTCCCTGGAGGAGTGGACTTCCAATATCTTGGGCACAGGCTAGTCACATCTCTGATTTTTTTTTAATTTTTATTTATTTATGATAGTCAGAGAGAGAGAGAGAGAGAGAGAGAGAGAGAGAGAGAGAGAGGCAGAGACATAGGCAGAGGGAGAAGCAGGCTCCATGCACCGGGACCCCGACGTGGGACTCGATCCTGGGTCTCCAGGATCGCGCCCTGGGCCAAAGGCAGGCACTAAACCGCTGCGCCACCCAGGGATCCCTGATTTTTTTTTTTTCTATAGTTTGCTCCTAGAGAACCTATTTTATTTTTTCCAGTTCCTTTCTAATCCTACCCTTGGTCCCAAAGTCACTTGCCTTGGACATCTGGAAAAGACAGAGTTGGAAGCTTCTGTTCCCTAGATCCTCATCTTCCCCCCAGATGAAGTGCACCACTTTTAGTGCCCCTATTTTATCAAGCAGGCCAATTTCACCCCTGAACTACCTGCCTTCCTTCCTCATCATGTACTCTGCTTCCATATCTAAGCAACATCTCTACTCTCTAGTGCCATATTGGTAGCACTAGATGCATCTCATTTGACAATAACCATTTAGCTCTAGGTATTAGTATATATTACACACAGAAATTTAACAGACACACAAAAATCATAATTTAACGCAGAAAGCAACAGTGGTGACTATACCAAAGAGACACCACACAGAGGCATATGCATTGGGGGGCTTTTCATCATACCCTGCCCTCTGTTAGCACAGACGATTGAAAGTTGGTTTTGGAATAAGATGCCTCATTACTCTTTAAATCTAAAGAATTTTAATTTACCAATAAACAAGTGGCATCTGTTGTACAGTAATTTGGTTTTATAAGGATTTGTTGGTCTTTATAAAAAGGGATTTACTTATCAGAAGAAAGCCTATTACGATCCTTTATAATGAAATTTGTCCCAAGTATTTCCCCACTAACAAGTGTTCAGAGGATCCCAAATCATCACTATCCAAAAGTTACCCTCCAATTTTGGAAAATAAAGTGACACAAAATAACCAAAAGAAGAGGTCTGAGAACTTCTTTTACATATCAATAAGAGGAGAGAAAGGAATGTTGTCCAGGCCCTGAAGTAAAGAAGTAAGCCGGACTACCAACCTCAGGAGTTCCTGGGGTTATCACCATGTTCCTGCCTGGAGGAGGTGTAGGCACTGATGATGACCCAGAGCTCTGGTTAACAAAGCAGGGCAGCAGAGGGATTTTAAAGCATCTGACCCCCAGTCTGTCAGCAAATGCCATCTGTTCCCCACTGACACTGAATATTTTACAGTAATTCATTCATTCATCGATGAATATTCAAACACACACGGCTATCGAGGGGTCTGGAGAGGGGTAAAGCAAGACAGTCAAAACCCACATAGCCTGTTCTTTCATGGATCTCACAGTTAATGGGTAAGGTGGAAATAAAGAAGTCAATCGTGTCACCACCAGATAATAAGAGCTGGGAGTGACACTGTCACCAGTATCTGGAATGAAACACTTACTCTAAGGCCAACATGGATGGATTTTTGAAATCGCTATCACAGCTATGTCACTGGAAAGGACAAACTGGTCAGCTTAAAACAGGCGTGGGGAGCTTCTGTTCCACACCACTCTCCTGGTTCAGAAATTCTGAGGTTAAATTGCCAGTTTTTCTGTTAATTCCCTTACTCTTACTATTTGTGGTACCTACAGAGCTGTTTCCTATGTCCCCATCTAAGTCTTCTTTACCATAGCTCCCCACAAACAGTTGGTCAGTAAAGTCAGACAACTCTGACCCAGAAGTAAGTCATCTCTAGTGAGTCAACAGCCAGAAAGAGCTCTGGGGACCAAAACCAAAGGAGTCCCAGCACTTAGGAATCAAAGAAAACTTTCCTGAAGGAATTTCAGCTCAGAAGAATTCAAAACCACTATCACCAAGTAGAAGTTTGGCTTCAAATTGAAAACTTATATAAGAACAAACCATGCACAAAATTAAATAGCCAATAAACTAGGAAAATATTTGATACAAATTTGGCAGATAAAAGGAGAAAGAACATGATGATCTGAGGAATCATAATCTCAATAGCTCAAGCTCTCATTCACTGCTGATAGAATTCCACCCTTGGTAATACAGCGTTAAGATGAAGGAAAAAAGGGATACACAGCAATTAAACAATTGAATAAATATCCTACACCACTAATAGAAAAGTTAATATAATGAAGTTTTTCCTACCAAAATACCAAAGATTACAATTACACACAGACACACACACACAAGCACAGTTTTTATTTTTGTGGTTTGCTTTTTTTTTGAACTTGCAGATCACAGAACATTTCTGCAATCGCTCCTCTACCATTATCCCCTCTCCAGGATGTGAGCAACAGCGTCTAACTACCTGGGCTGTGGGGCTGCTTTCATTCTTGCCTCCACAGTTGATTCTCCACGAAAGAATTAGATCACATCACTTTCTGGCTTGAAATCCTTCAATGGTCATGAATCTCACTTAGGGCAAAATCGCAAATCTTCACCAAAGCTAACAAAGCGCTTCTTGATCTGCCCCCGCCCCCCACCAGTCCTCCACCTCAGGTGCCCCCATACTTGGGGCACCCCTGCTCCTTCTGCTCCAGCCCTCTTGGATCTGTCCAGTCCTAGAAAGCTTAAAGCAAGTTCCCACCTCAGGGTCTTAATACTTGCTGAATCCTTTACCTGGAAGGACTTATCTGTAGGCAACCTCATGGCTCGATCACACTTTTCATTTAAGTCTCTGATCAAATGTTACCTCCTCAGAAAGGATCTGCCTAATAGTACTTTTTCCTAAGTAGCCTCTCTCCCCTTGCCTACTCCCCCACCCTGTCTGCTTCAATCTTCTTCCTAATATTTATCTCCATCCAATAGTATTAAATATAGTAATGCCTTTTGTTCATGTAACTATGACCCCAGGAATTTACTAAAGTAAAGGATTAGGGCTACAAGAAGGATTTAAACACAATAAATTATTTTTGGTAGAGAAAGAGAGGGAGGGAGGGGAGGAGGGAGAAAGAAAAAATGTATATCAAAGCCACACACCAAATAGAGCTCTGTTTAAATAAATCATGATGCAACAATATGATTTAATGTTATATAGACCTGAAAAGTCATGATTTCAGCTAGTGAAAATACAGAAAAGGCTCTGAGTATATGAAAGGGTCCAAATGCAAAATTATATGCTTATTTAGTGATATCATAAATTCATAAAACAAAAAATTCACAAATATATATACTTAATGACTGGAAGAAAATGTAGGATGTGTGTATAGGGGTTTAAAGGGAAGCCTTTTCTTCCTGGTGGCTAATTGTGGCACATTCAATGGAAACCTATTTAGTAATCTGACAAAATCACTTTAGCTTAAAAAATCTCTCTTAATTACCATGTGGCACAGCGTTTTTCAAATTCGTATTCACAGAATGTTTCCTCAGTTTAATGCTTACCTGAAAGTCCAAGATGAAAAAAAAAAAAAAAAGAAAAGATAAGGAAATTTCTTATAATTCCTGAAGAAGTGAGGGTATTAGAGCCACAGATGTTAGGGAACCCAAGCTGTATTAACATAGTAATTCCCAGAGCCACTGTTGGCAGAACTCCAGGAGGGATCATTCATATTCTTCCCTATGTCAGTTGTGCCCTGTAGAGATGTTCAGGGCACAACCTGGACCACCATATAAATTGACCGCACCATATACTCTATCCCCTACCCACCCACATGTACTATGGATATATACAATGGTCTGCCGGTGGGTCTCCCCAGATCATAGTTTGAAAAACACTGATATGGGATGAATGAGGTATCATAGTTTTATATATATATATATATATATATATATATATATATATATATATATATATATGTTGTGGTAAAAGTTTTTTACGGTGTCATGACTGAGGTCCTGTGATCCAATTAGTTCTATAAACAAGTGGCGCATTAGTAGACTCCTAACCGTAGAACTGTTTTTTATCTGTAAACTAATAGTTTATCCATTAAACTGATGGCAGGATCTTTATGAGGAAATCAGTTTGGTATTTTCTGAGCTTATAAAAATGACAAATTGCTTTTGGATTTACACTTTTGTCACTTAGAGAAATTTTAAAACATTTTTGATGAGCTAAGTGCTCCTAATGTAGAGTAGTTTAATAAATAAGATAGAAGAGCATT